GTGTTTTCTAAAATCTATTTTTTTTTTTTTTTTTTGGTATCAGGGATCAAACACGGGTCCTTGTGCTTGCAACGCAGGCGGTGGAACCACTGAGCTAAATCCCTGGACCTTCTAAAATTTATTTTTCAACAGCCTAGTATGCTAAATCTTTTAACCTTGGCAAATTCACTGTCATTCATTATTTTATTATTACGGTGTTACATAATTTTAGAGAATGAGAATAAGCAACATAGAAAACCATTCGTTTTATTATAAGGCTGTAGTTTAACATTAGTAAATTACAGTATATATCTAGTCATTATTGTTCATGATTACAAATAATATAAATCCTAAGAAGCAAGGTACTGTGTAATTAAGTACTTACCTTAAGAGGAAAACAAGTGTTTATGTGAACACTAGCAACTACCATATATGTTTTTACACAAAATATATGTAATGCCACCATTAAATTATGGTATACAAAAGATATTTACTGATACATTATAGCAAATATACCATTTTCTAGCATTCTGTTTTATTTATTTATTATTTATTTTTTTGGTTCCAGGAATTGAACTTGAGACCCTATTCTTGTGAGGCAGGTGGTGGTACCACTGAGCTAAATCCCCAGCCCTCTAGCATTCTATTTTAAAAGGTGAAAAATGCTTTATAAATATTCTCCTTACCTGTGTATACAGTTTTTACTCTCGAGATAAAACATACCAGCAGCAGCATCTAAGGAAAATGTCACTAACTGTTGGAGTTTTAATTCATCTTTCTTCTTTCTCAGAAAGGACAGGAAATCACCTCCTGGAGGGATCAACAGAAGAATGAGAAAAATTTATAGCCTAATAGCCTATTAGGGATATCTGAAGAAATAAAAGTTGTTACATGTTTGCCCATGCCTTCTGCCCCATTTGTTTCAGGTGGGGACAAAATTTAGCGTGAAAAGAATACACTTGTTAGCAGACACGATGAACTTTTTTGGATACTGTGTAAATACTTTAAATGCTTTATACTGTATGTTACCCAAGGTATGACAATATTTGGTCAAAGCCATACTTGTTCCCATGTCATGATTTTCACCAATTTGTTTCACTAAAATTTACTGAAGAATTTGATTTTCCCTAATAATAATAAAAGACTAATTATTACAAGTTAAACAGAAAAGTAAATGATACTAGATTAGTTGCTACTAGATTCGGCGATTAATTAAAACTTGTAAGTATTCACACCACCTTTTTAACAATAGGCAAAATAGACAAAAAGAGAAACGTTACAATTTTAACAAGGTTTAGTCACTGACCATAACTGCAATTCTGTGCATCTAACAGATTCTAGTTGTCTTAGAAAAACTTAAGACACTATAGGGTCCAAGACAAAAACAATACAATCTAAATAGTAATTTAAAGTTCACTGCTAAACACATTCTATAATGTTAAAAAAGGATAAAATTGAATTAAAAATATATTTTCTTTATCCCAATATATGCAAAATATTTTGTATTGACATGCATCAATCTAAAAACATACTTGAGTGTGAATAAACTGAAATAATACGTAAGATCCTAATAAGACTACTGACATTGTGAAATGGGAAGAAAGGGGCTAAAGGTGTAGGGAAGGTGGGATGGGTAGGGGAAGGGTAATAAGGGAAAAGAAAAAAATGGAAAAGATGGAAATAAAGTGTTTGCAGATGGGGAGGGGAGGAGTGGGTGAAGGGAGGGCAGGGACAAGGGGAAAAAATGAGAACCAAGACCTGTCATGTAGAGGTACAAGATCCCAACAATGAATGTAACTGTACTGTATCCCTAAAATGTACCAATAAACTTAATTAAAGCTGAAAAAAAAACATACTAGAGATATTTTACTTCCTTATCATACTAAGCCTCTGGAATATACTATTTTATTCTTATGGTTATACCTTAATTTCAATGCAAATTTTCTTCTGAAATATTGTATGTAAATTAGTGTATAATATATATGTATACATATACTTAAAATATATGTTCAAATTTCATGATACAGTTGAATAGATTCATATACCTGTTGTTCTAAACATACTTAAAATTTTCCACTAACTGAATCAAGTATTTGAAGTTTTAAAATTTAAACCAATCAAAATTAAATGAAATTTAAAATTCAGAAGTACTAAGCACATTTGAACAGTTCAAGGCCCATCTATGGCCATTGAATAATCCAGCCTCATTCATAATTCAACATTAAAAGGTGTGGCTCATTGTTTTTCCTTTTAGTTAGTTAAGTATGGTTTCTTGCAGTACACAGAAAGCAGTTAAAGTAAATTAGAATGAAATAAATGTTCTTTAAAAACAATCATTCACATTTTTCTCTGCTAGACCCCCAAATGTTAAACAGGAGTTCTGTAAGAGAGATTAGCATTTTAACTGCCATTTTCTGAACTTATTTACCCTCTTCACTCAGGAAAATAGAGAAAAATGTATATATGAAAATACACACACACACACACACACACACACACACACACACACACACACACACACACACACACACACACACACAATCTCGGAATTTGTAATATGTTCCTTCCCAAGTGATTGGTCCAGAGACAGGCACATGACTTAGTTCAGGCCCATGAAGCAAAAAGATGCTGGAAAGAAGAAAAAACCTTTGCATTTTTGAGATAAAAGGAATGAAACAGAACTGGCATAAATAGTATATAATTCTATAAAGACTGGCAGTCTTAGGATGAAAGCATCTGCTTTTATGGAAAGCAGAAGAGAGTGAAGAACAGACACTAGCCTAGCTGACACATCGGAGCCACTGGATTACCACACTTTCTAGAGAATTTTCATTAAGTGAACAAGTAAAAATCACTAAAATTATGAAATATATCTTCTATAATAGTAATACAAAGATATTTAATGGATACAATAATATTTATATCTGTGAGGTTATTTTGAGAATTAAAAAAATGTCTACAAGTAGGAAATTCAACAAACGTCATTATTTGTAGCCAATTGTACATAGGAGAATAGAAGCCAATTATTTTCACTGTTGTTGTTTTGGTATCAGGGATCGAACTCAGGACCTTGTGCTTGTGAAGCAGGCATGGTGTCACTGAACTAAATCCCTGGCCCAAAGCCTATTATTTTCAACAGGTAGTTCTTAATTCTTATTATTTCATGCTACTAAGATTTGATCTTACCTATTAATGAGGCTCTGAGAAACTCATCATACTTAATGCAGCTGAGAGATTATTATGTAAACAAGAATATTATCATTTTTAATTGGAAAAAAAAGGGATAATCAGAGCAATATCCCTAATGACTTGTCATGGAATCAGAGATATCTTAATTTAGCTTTAAAAATGACTTTAAAGTTTATTAAGATAGTAGTCCCTAGTGATATATAAAATATATAATTCTTTATTCTTATTTGTAGGATATTAATTTTTTCCCTCAGAATTCTGTGTTGCTTAGTTGTATTTAATTATACATTTTAAAATAAACTAGCACTTATAGTAAACATTAAGTTACACAGAGCTGTTCTGGAGGCTCCATTTAAGTCACTCTTCAGAGTTCTCCTTTTAAAAACGTTTTTGTTCTGTAACCACAATTGATAAGATATGACTATTTCCCAGCCCATCAAAATTAAGGATGAAAAAAACACATGCCAAGTATAAACTGGATACTAACTCAAACTGTACTCTAAGAAACACAGAATTTATGAATTTTACATAAGAGAATATAAGCCCGAACAAGTCAATGAAGAGCAAAATACTAGTGGAAACACTGAAGCAGAAGATACTGGCTGGTACATGGAGGGTATTTAGGAGAGATGGAAGGCACGGAAGGGAGATTAGCAGGGGAGGGGATGTTGTAGTTGTTGAGTGGGGTGTTGACAGCGTATACTAAGGACGATCCAGAGAAACAGTCTAAAACATTAAATCTTCAAAGACTCAGTGATAAAACAGAAATGGGTTAGTTTGTAGGGAAAGATAAGGAAGGTAAAACAATGAAAAAACTGAAAATGACTGTAAGAATATACTGTATAGGTATTCCTGACTCTATTTTCTTCTTTTGAAAGAAGCACTTACTGCTCAGCTTGATACCTAAACAGCAGAATTCAGGTAGCTAAAATATAGAGCTGAGCGCGTGGGTTTCCCAAGTTTGGCAGAAATCTTTTCAGATACGATTCCTTAATGGCCACCTTCTACTAACACTGCAGAATGGCAAGAACCCTTCGGCTGTCTCCTTTGCAAATAATACAATATCCACGAATATATAACCTAAGACCAGGTATGACCCAAGTTCAGTGAAATAAAACAGTGCACTTCTCAGTATTTTTGGCTCAAAGGACAATAGCTATAATCTTGCTAGGTATGATATAAAGTTCCATAAGAGATACTACAGCCAACTTCCAAAAGTCTAGAATGCTAGAACTAGAAATAACTTTGGAGTCATGTATTCCAGCCTTTTCATATTGTAGATGAGGGAACTTACATGACATTTCTTCATTGGTACATGTTTGCAGTACATAATGAACTTTCATCTTGGGGGATTTATATATGAACATGCATATAACATACCTCAATTCTTTTTATAAAATCCCTCTCCTCTCCCTCCAATTCTTTTCCCTCTCTGCATTTGGAAAAGCTCCAGTTTTTTCTTCTTTTTCTTTCCTTTAAATCCCTTTTCCCACCCATCCATTTCCTGCTCCTCTTCCCAGTTGAACAAGTTCTTACTTCCTAATATTTATCCTCTGTTTTACTCATTATTTATACTTTGGGTTTCTCACACAAGAGAAACAATGTGATATTAAAACTTGTGTTTGACTTATTTCACTTGATTATGGCCTTGAGGTGCACCCATTTACCTAAAAATGCTGCAAGTTTATCTTCTATTATGGCACAGTTGTATTCCGTTGTATATAAATCTCACATTTTCTTTATTCATTCATCTACTGATGGGCATGTGGGCTATTTCTAAGATTCAGCTATTGCAAATTGTGCTGCCATAAATACGGGTATGCATGTATCATGTGGTATGATGGCTTTAAGAAGCTGATTTAGAAAAACTGAAATCCTAGGATGAGTGTTCGCATACTAAGGTCTGGAGCCAAATCCAGTCCCTTGTCTGGTGTGTCTAATAAAAGTTTTTACTTGAAAACTATCAGATTCATTACTTTACATATTATCTATTGCTACTTTGGTTCTACAGTGGCAGAGTTACAATACAGACTGTATAGCCTACAAAGCCTAAGCATTTTGCTACCTAGCTCTTTGCATGACATTTGCTGGCCATTACCCTAAAGGTGTTTCTCAGTATTCCATTTACCTGCAGTTCTTTTCATTGAAATTATTTATTTCATTATTTTATCTACTTTCAACTAATATTTTACTCTTAAATGTCTTTTCCATTAGAACTCAATAGTACTTTTTAAAAAATTTGAAAAGGAAGGTTGGCAAGGTGGAATAACCAATTCATTTAATTAATTAATCACAAACATTTTTATGCATAATCACATTATACTGAGATCATAATTTCCATGCTACCTTTTCCATCCCCAACCCAGTATTTGCCACAAAGGCCAAGAAATGCCTCTCTTCCTACTTTAATGCCAAACTATGATGCACTTTTATATTTTGTTGCTTTTTATCCTTCCTCAACCATGCCTTTGATAGAAAGAATAAAGACAAAATGGACAAGAATATCAGGTATAAAAGACATTGGCCTCTTAACCCTTCAGGAGATTTTTCATATATTTAGATGCTATGATGCCATTTTTTGAAATTAAAAAAATCAATGGAATATTCATTTTGATATCTAT